TGAATTGAATTAAAAGGAAACACTTTACTTCCGTGATGCAGACATGTATGCGTGCTTGTTATCTTTGCAGCTTTCAGATGATCCCTGCTCCCTCAAGACAGTTAGTGCTTTCTTCTTTCCAGCATCAGGGACGGGTCTTGAAGTAGATGGCTGATGAATTCTCTGGTTTCTCCACTGATGCCTTGAAGCCTTTAATCGGTGGTCCGTCTTCTGTAAACATGGTACTGTTGTATCAGGTTTTCTCCTCTCCTCGATCTACTTTGTGAGCACTGTCATTTCTTTTATTCCCTGCCTATGTATTGCAGTTTTACTGTGGAGGGGTTCAGCTTATATCCCATCCTGCTTGTCTTGGAAGGTTACCTTTACCATGAGTGTTGCAGCAGCCCCTGTATCCATTTCCACTTAGATTGGTTTTCCAGTGTGAGCAGGCCTAAAATTGAAGGCTTTGGATCACCAGTTTAATTGTAAGGAGAGTTCACAGATCAGGCAGAGGGATGTTGGATTTCATGGTATGGTACAGCACTAAAGCATGCCAGACCAGACCGCTGCACACCCTGTCCAAGGGGTCACTCCACTCTTGGAAAGGGGTCTTACAGGCAATGTAAGCAAAGTCATGCAACTAGACTCACAATAATATTAAGGGGGGGGGTTGGTGGCGGCAGAGGGTGTTGCAGTGCAGAAGAGGGGCTATTATACGCTGAAGGTAGTACCAGGTAATTGGTTAATCCAGTGCAGTAACTCCAGCCTTGATGCTACATCTGAAAATGTTTTTGTCATGAGTATTAGGGCTGCGGGTACTCAAGTTATAAAAATTTAGCTTACATTTTATATAATTTGTTGACAGACTGTCTTGCAGAACCTGGGCATTTATTGCAAGCAACGTTTTTAGTTTTTGTTTGTTACCAGTGATGTAAATTTGTGCCAGGACTTGGGGGCGGGGTTAGGGAATTGACACTAGAGGGAGTGTTCATGGTAGAAATGTACGTCTGTAATTATGTACAGTGTGTATTGCATTTCTGCAGAACCTTACATCAACATGGTGCATTTATGGCTTAAAATCATTCTCCCTTTTTGAGAGCTGTTGAAATTTCACTACAAAAAATTGTGGTGGATGATTTGATAGCCCCTCCCCCTGGCGGTTTTCCCCCCACCCAAGAATATTTATCATCATCCTGCAGGCATGAACGGTTATACATGAGGGGCGGGCGGGGGGAATTGTCATGAACAAAAAATTGTTGTTCCAGGCGTACCCGTTTGTCAGCAGTATACTGACAGGTAAGGATTAAAGAGCTCTCTGCCTAACACAAGTTATTGAAGTGAAGAGGAACACGCAAGAGCTATGTATACAACTCTCAGCTGGTTTACTCTGGTCCTCTGGTTCAATAGGTACAACACAAAGATTGAGGAAGGTTCACTGATAACACACCAATATCAAGCGTCCTGAAGCTCACCAGAGGTTTATTACTCTTGGGTCTGAGGGTTATTTTGGTAACTTTATGCAAATTACCAAAGCCGCTCTCAGTATCAACCTCATTAGCACACCTCACAGTGGAAGGTTATCAACAGAATCAACCTGTCCACTGTAAAGCTCAATAATTATCGCACATCACAATAATTATGTGACCACAGATTAGCTATTGTCTCCAACCTATTTTATGGATCGACACGTTCAAGGAGCTCTATGTGTAAGATCATATACAATAGATCATGCACACTAAACCTTGGTATACGTACACACCAACCAGCACAGTCCTTCCCTGCTCCACCAGCCAAGGCCAGCAACAGCTATTCTCACAACCTCCCGTCCCGGACTGAGGTTTTACGGTTCAAGAGTATAACCCTCTCAATGGAACCCATTTTACTTACCTTACCAAACTTCTACAGCGTGGCTTACTCTTCGACGACTAAGCAGCTGTCACGAACGTGTGATTCGTGCTCTCACCTGGGGTAGCACTTTAACCCTAACCCCCAGGGACCATTGAAATCTTGCATAACCTTGTCGGGTTCAACATGGTTAGGGTTAACGTTATACATGTACCAGGATATTATTAGACTCACTGCCCCTAACGGCTCGTTCTGTCACACTGGCCCAGGCTAAGTTTGAAACATCCTTGTTTCATTAAGCTTAATAAGAAGCCTTATACAAAAATAATTTGCAACCAAAATAGAAGTAGAAACCTCTTTAACCTGTGATAAAGTAATACTTTGAACCTCCGAGGCTTACTTTACTTCTTTTAAGCAAACCTCAGTCAACCTCTGCATCTGCTTGAGGTCTATAAATTTCCCTGTTTCAAACCTCACAACTTGTGCATGTACATCCTCAACAACAATAATACAACACTTTGCTATAAAACCAATAAGATAACACTTTGTTTAAACAACTCATTGATATTAGGAAAATCAATAATAAACTATTTACAAGATCTTAGGCTTTAATCTGACATCTGTCCCAGTCGTCTTCTACATCCCTAATGTCCTTCAAGACTTGTCTTGAACTGGGTTGAGTGGCCAGTCAGTGTCATGGAACTTGGATGTTGTCTTAACTGTCTCCTCATGCTCGATGCAGACATTTCCAACATACACTTGACATAAGCTTGAAAACAGAGTGTAGTGGTAAATGTGTACAAAACCTATGAAGGAAAACTGTAGATTTAATCTCATGTCACGTGACCCCTGATGATGTCATCATCACAATGGCGAATGTTCTTGTTGAAGATGAGTCTACTGGATGAGCAGCTGTCTCCAGTGGACACAGAGGTGGCATGGATGAATGGGTGCTGCTTGTGGAAGGTAACTTCTGCTTCATCTTCTCTAGGAGACCTTGTGGCTTCCCATGGAGATCGGAGAAACCGAGGGGACTTTGATGCAATCAAGGGGGAGATCGGCATCAGCAAAAGACTAATCATTGCCACATCTCCACTTGGATTACCTTGCTCTGATGTTGCACCCTCATTTGGCTTAGGCATGGGTGGCACTGCTGCTGCTGAAGAGGTAGAAATATCTCTTGCAAGCACTCAAGGGATTGTTGACCCCTCTTCTCCATCACTTGGATGAATTGCCTTCCTTTCAATCTCCACCTCTTCCAAGAATTCTGGATGACGCTGTCTGTAGTGTGTACAGAGATTATTTCTTCTGTTGAAGTGGAATGACACCTCTTGCAGAAGATGTGGGCTGCTGGGCCATGAATCGGCTTCTAATGCCCCCAGAGGCCCTGTTTCTGCTCGAAACCTCTCCCACAGACTGTGCAAGTAATCTGCCTCATCTTCACTGGACTGGCTTTGGGTGGCATACTGGTCTCAGCTGTTGTGCTTTATTTC